TCTTGCGAAATATTCAATCATCCCACGTTGCCTTTGCCGCTCCATTTTCAATCATTTTTCCTACAAACAAATTATTGTGTGACTAGTGGGGATTTTTCAATCAAATTTTATTGAACTAGGCTTCAATCATGCGACAATTTAATTTCAGTTTTTTAATTACGATTTTTTTTAAATTGTTCTGTAAAGAGAAGCTGGAGGAGAACGTCTCGGGAGGTTGAAGAAAAAACTATTCAACCTCCTGGAAATTCACTGAAAGCTTGCCAACGAAAAACCTCTGAGGATGTAGGCCACTTGTGCTTGCGAAACGTCGGGACGGCCGGAAAGCCCGAAATCATAACGAGTTTCAAAGGATGACCGCGAAAGCTTAACTCTTTCGACTAAGTGGGTAAATAGCGATTGCCTGGGGTGTTATTTTTAGAAATTGAAACACGAATTGAGCTGCTATTTAAATAAAATATTACTCACTATTGTCTGAGTGTTAAATAAAGTTTTAATCGATAAATATCCAGATTGTTAATATCCCGTGTGTAATAAATATGGCTGTTCGTCTCAACCTTTGTTTGTTTACAGGATGAGATAATTTTAATTAAAGTTCTATTGCCTGGACAAAATAATAAATCTGTTTAATTTGCAGTGACTCATAGATCTGGCACTAATGATAAAAGATAAAAGTTTGGGAGTGAACTTGAAATAGCTATGCTTCATTAGGTAACTGCGCGTTGATTGAAAGGAGCAAAAAAAATCAGATTTCTTCAGTTGTAAATTTTTCGGGCAGATGCAAGATGCAAGACACTCGTGCTTGCGAAACGTCTCTTTTCCACGACGGTCTAAGACGGAAAAACCCACTAGTTTCAGGCAATGACTGCAAATGCGTAACTCTTTTTTGTATTTTTTCGAACATTCTGTTATTCGCTTATCGAAATATGCAAAACATCACCTGAATACGACACTGGCTGTGATATAAATATAAAAACATGCTATCATATTCTGATATATGAAGGTTAGATGGTGATTATTTTGAAAAATCAAACATTCTCTTGTAGTAAGTAAATCTATTCGCGGTGTGCCATTAGTTTTGCGATAAACTAGCCGTTAAAGTTATGAAATGTTATTTAAATCTATTTAAACAGCAGTGAAGAGAGAAAGTTGTAATTGACAAACCACAATGCTAGCAACTTTGTGTCTGCCTTACGCGGTTCACTACTTCATAGAAAATGAATCATACTTCACATAATTACCTTCTTCTCGTTAAGTATTTTTCAATGACGAAGCTGATCGAAAATTCAGAAGCAATTTTAATTATCGAAACATAGCATGACCTCATTGCGAAAATGCTATGCGATCTTCCGTTGTACTTAATCAATGCAGATATTTTAAGCAGGTTGTAACTTGTTGTCTAATCATAAATTCGATATCAGCAAATGTTTCTGAGGCAATTTAAAAGATACCTGGATGTCTATTGAATGCAGAAGGTTTTTTCAATGCAAACTACAACAGTTGAAGCAGTTTCCGCCACTAAAATATACTATTTAACATCATAGTAGGTACAACTAGCCAGACTTCTCCAACCTTGCTACTGGTGTAATAAACATAAAATAAAATGCAAGCTGCGTGCCTTTATAACCAGTAAACCAGTACTGGAACTTCGAGTATGAATTCTTGCATCGGTTCCCATATTGATTTAATAAAAGGGGCCAAATGCAACAACAATATACAAACAACCAAACCCATAAAGAATGCCCATTTTTCCTTCTTTTGGACGGCAAAACACACTTATTTGCGAAGCAAAAATATAAAAGCGATTATTACTCAATCAATTGGAAATAACTAGTTTTTTTTAAGTAATCAGACAGTTTTAAGAGAAACCAAGTAGCTAATTGACTCTTTATAGATCAATTTACATAAAAAACCACTTTTAAACTACCTGAAATACGTTTATAGACTGCTCTACTACTTACCTAAGCTCCAACTGTTTGTGTATGGTCAGATAGAAGAAAACTGATAGATAATTAGATGCAGCTGATTATCGCTTTAAGGTTTGATATTGACTTTGCTAAAAAACTGTAAAAAATAGCACGAGCATCCACTTCATGAAGGGTAAACGAACTTTGCCTAAATGGCGTATTTTAAAAGCTTTCTGTTATAATCACAGTTTTGCGTAGGCCTTTTGATGTACATATTTAAATTGTTGTGTTTGGGCTTTTGCTAAAAAGTTCCTGGTCTACATCTAACAAATTACCGTGGCGAAGTTTTCACATAAAAAGCGGATGAAAAGTCCAGACACTCCTTTGCATTTGGGGATTTACAACCTGGCATTTTAAACTCTGTTTAACATCAACTTTTTCATTAAGGAATTTTCTTTCAGGTTAATGGCCACTTTTAAACGCAGGTAATATTTCAGCCATTGAAATAAAAACGCTTCTTCATTCTTAGTGTAAGCCCTGAAATATTTCGGTTCAGATTTGCATAGTACAGGGTGGTTCATATGCGAGTCACATCGTTTATCACCTTTTAAAGCGTGCTAACAGGATAATTGAAACGAGAAGGTTGTTACGCATTTGATGAATATTTCACACACTCTTACTAATTTGATGTGTAACTGGAAGGTCCAAATATTTTTAATTTTAGAGGATCTGAACATGAACAAGACGTATAATATGTTGTCGATTAGTCAATATTGAACGCATTCGCTAGACATTTTTATTACTTTTTACAAAAGACGCAACAACATAAAAGTAAAGAAAATCGAAAATATTTGAGACAAATGCGTAAATTTTATTATAGTTACACATTAAAAAAAGTATTACTCATGTTTTTTTTTGTCTAAGTGCTAAAGAGTCTAAAGTCTAAAGCTAAGAAACACTAAAAACCGTTTGATGCACCAGAGCATCAGCATCCTTAGCAGCACCCAACAGAGTGGGGCATGCTAATTAATTATTTCTTCTAAAAACACAATTTATGACAAAACAACCCAAAATTTAATCGTTTAATATTTTTCACTTTTGTTCTTTAATTTTTATCTCACCCTTGAAACGTTTTTTTCAAAGTAGCTGACCAACTAAATGATCTGCAAAGTGAAGACCGACACTTTATAATGAAAAATCTCTAACAAACTTAGCATAGTTTTCAGACCATTCAGAAGACAAATCTAAATACAGAAATGAAATTGATTAATGATTACTCATGTTTATCTCATCGTAGTTTACAACTGAGAAGCAAAAAGACGTAAACACTATTTTACTTATTTTTTTTGATAAATCGTCTAATTTTCAGTTTTTAATTAACCATTTTTGCTCAATCATCTGCAAAAATTTAAAAAAATATGTATTTTTTTAGTTTTCGTAGTAGAAGAGAAAAAAAATTCGTATGCAAAATTCAATTTAATATATTTTTTTTTGGATTTCTGTTAACCTTGTTTTCTCGACGTATTTTCAAAGTAAGAAACAACGCAGGATGAAAGTGTAATGAAAAACATCGAACAGCCGCTGAAAAATCCTTTTTTGCTCGGATGCCTGAAGGGAAATAATTGATTTTTGAAAAAGGATGTTTTCTCAAACATGTTTTAAATCGTTAAATCGGACCAACAAAAAATATATTTAAACTAATACACGATTATTCTTTAACAAAGCGTTTAAGTACCTAATTTTGAAAAAAAAACTATTTTTGTGTCAAAAAAAGCCAACATTTCTAAATGAAAAAAGAGTGTAATATTTTGTGCTGTTTTCGAAAATGATTTTTTTATCAGTGTACCATTTTTTTTCATTTACTCAACAGGAGTAGCAAATTAAAAAAAAATAACATTTTTAATGACAAATGTTAAAGAAGCTTTCAAGTCTAAACATTTTAGCTTGCAAATGATTAAGTTTCTAATAAAAAATTGCGAGAAGCCACGCAAGCACTAATATAAAAATAAGGTACGTTTTCTTGCCAAACTGTGCGTTCTAGCAGAAAAACTAAAAAGCATTTTCCTTTGCAACTGAACGTATTAGACAATAATTTCTTTTGTAGAGAAAGCATTGGCGTGCACGGTTTTTTATCTGGAAAATATAAGATGAAATGGTTTTTATTTTTTTAATGAAAAAGTGTGCATTTTGACAGACACTCAAAAGAGCTTTTTTCTTCCCAACTGAACGTAGAATTTGAAAAATACATTTTTTTTGTTGGAAATTAAAACAATAAAAATCAATCAGTAAAAGACGCCTATTTAGGTTTGTGGGTTTTTTGGGTCAATAGATGGTGGCAAAAACAAAACACTATTTTTTCATGGGCCTAATGAAAGACTATCATCACGGTCACTAATTAACGACAACAAAAATAAAAATCAAATTAAAAAAATAAAATGGAACTTATTGAGTTCAATTTCCCCAGGCCAAATACTCGACCGGTTGAATTCATGAAGCATAAAAAGAGAATTCAAATAAAGAACAAATTAAACCTTCTAAAATGCAAATTTCATAAGCTTTTAATTGACTAAGTTTGACGAGAAAAAATTGTTTGGGGCAAAATAAGCCAACACTCATTTTCAGTGCTGTTTTGGCATGTAGGTATCTATAAATTAAATTCATTGTTTACCGATGTTTATTCTGTTGTTCATGTTTATTTTGACACGTTTGTAAAACAAAAAGGTATTTGATGCGCACGTAGCGGTTGAAATAAATCATGAGATGGGTGGGGCTCTGACAAAAATTCCGCGTTATTTACGGTTTTTTTTAAATAAAAAATGAGTGAACTTGAAAAATTCTACATTTGTGTTCCTGTTTTTTTTGACATTTGACAATTTCTGAGTCGATGAAAATCATCAAACGTCAAACCAACTGAATAGCGCAGAATAGAAAATAACTGAAAAATGTTTTTCAAGTGAAAAAAGTGGGATATAAAGGTAACCGAGTGTAAAATATTGAGTACGTAAATGGGTTGTAAAGGTAAAATATGCGAGTTTTGTGCGAGGCGAGAACCAGTCTAGTGTAGTGGTCGCCTTGAACTGAAATGAAACGAAAAAGTTGAGATATTTTTTTATTATAATACGTATATATCACAAATCCTTTTTGGCTCTCAGAACACACATTCTATCAGCTTTTCTATCAGTTTAAATTTACTTACAAAACATTAATTACTTTCCAAGCACTCTCATACCAGGCATGCTTCACACTTTGATTAAAATGTCTCAGTTCATATGGTACAACACAGATCTCTGACAATTTATGTACTAGTATGTACAGGATGAGCTCACTGGTTTCCAGAACCATGTTGTAAAATGTAAATTATCCTATTGGCATGGAGTAGTCTGTAGCCCTTGGCTGGATTCATCATTTGGGACTCAGTGTGTTACTTAGGCCGATTCTAATATCATATCCAATCCATGCACAAATTGCAGTCAGTTCATTTGGTTTGAGGCACTATTAAAGTTACACAATAGATATGATTTAATTTAAAAAACTAGTGAGTACAGAGCATATAGGTTATGCATCATGTTATTCATCCGGTTTTAATGTATAAAAATATATTGGTATTGTGCAGGTCTAAGCCATCAAAAATTAGAACTAGGAGTATGAGCATTTACATATAAGATGATCTTGTCCACATGGTTTAATTGTTGTTAAATTGTTGACAGTCGGCACAGTTAGCACAAAGGAGGAGTGTTGCAGTAACACAATCATTTGTTCCCATCAAATTATAAAATGAGGCCGCTTATAGTACAGTACAGCAGCAATAACTTCGTTTTTCCTTCTCCGGACTAACATTCATCTCTCGGACGATTTCCGCAAAAACTTCATTCACGTTGGTTCGATTTTTTGCACTGGCTTCAATAAATGGACAACCCCACTGTTGCGAAAGCGTTTTTCCTTCTTCAAAGTCCACTTCTCTCTGGTGATCAAGATCAACTTTGTTAGCGACTAGGAGGATGGGCACCCTTTCAATGCCCTTAACTCTGGTAATGAGCTCCTTCATAGGACGGATATCCTGGAACGTTTGGTGATTTGTCAAACTATAAACTACCACGAAACCTTGCCCATTCTTGATATAAAGATCCCTCATGCTGGCAAACTGCTCGGTTCCCGCAGTATCCAGAATTTCGAGCACACAAGGCGAATTATCCACTTCGATTTCTTTGCGGTAAAAGTCCTCAATAGTCGGATCATATTTTTCCATAAAACATCCGGACACAAATTGAACAGTCAAAGCACTTTTCCCAACCCCACCCGATCCGAGGACGACTACTTTAAACTCACGCATTGTTCTCTCAGTTATTTCAGTCCGAAACGAAAAGTTCTCTACTCCTGGTGATTGCACGAAAACACGACTTAACTAAATTTATCACTTTTCGAACAGTCTGTTATCACATTTCTGAAATCCATTTCAACAAACAACTAAGTACACAAATTCGCCATCTTAGAGTGGAACAGTGAACGGACAAACTCGGCGAACAGCTCATCTCGTAGCTCGTAGCACTGTTTTCATTAGCGGGGAGCCACGAGGACGAGGACCTAGGCGAGTGGAGGGGAACGTTCTCCCAATGAGCAATGGGACATACTCGCGCGCATCCAACGTTGCCACCATTCCACCTTCAATTACACCTAATTTTTTCACTTTATTCCGAAAATCCAAAAACTATTTCACACAACTATTCCTTCCTAATCAATCAATCGGTTTTAGTTACTAATTCATCAACATATGCAGCCAATTAATTGATTCTTTTAATCAAATAACCAGTCCACAACTAATCAAGATGGTTGCGCACTCCCACTACTATTTTGCCATTCTACCAGGTCCGGACCTTCGAATATTGACCGAATATAGATTCTGTTCATTGTGTATATTTTCCTGACTGCATTTCAACTTAATTCAAAAGAAATTCCTGGGTTCCAGTCAATTTTATTGTTTACCATTTAAAATGTAACAAAAACGTTTCGGTGTTTTTCTCCACCATCATCAGTTTGTATGTATGGTTGTTTCTACCTTCAGAATGGCTTGACTGAATTTCTTTTGAACATAGATTCTGTGTGAGGACCTTGGCACTTAACTGATTTGCCCGAGAAATTACAGTTTTTTTCACTCTGGCCAAAAAATGCAGAGGATTTATCTTCACTTCATCAGTTTCTGAATAATTAAATGCCGGTCCCCAGACAGCATTAGAAATCCAATGAACATCCAAAACTTGTCCAAAAGAGTGTCGAATGTCCATGGTGCCTTTTTCGGCTACCATATATAATATAATAGTAATAATACTATAGTAATAATACTAATACTATATATAATAGTAATAATAGTAATAATTTCGGCATCCGTTGGACACCGGAAATCCCGGTGTTTAAATCGACATCCCGAGCATCGACAGATGACCAGTGACAGCTGAAAAACTAACCTCAATATGTGTTCAAGTGTGCATGTGGTGTGCATACTTTTGTTTAAACCTTTATTTTATTTTTTTTATTTTAAACTTATCTTCATCTATGGTTTAATCGTGCCTTCAGACATAAAGAACAAGCAAATTCTATAGACTCTATTGCCAGCATCATCTATAGATTCTCTATTCTACTCAGCATCAGTGTGATAATAAAAGTAAAGACCTTAATTAAGACGACTAATCTAATTAGTTGATATCGTAATATCCGGTAGGTGTTAATACACCATTTTGTATTTCTTCTTTACCCTTTTCTAGTATGGGTTTTCTCATTGATTATAATATTTGTGATATGGCTTTTGCTTTCAGGGCCACTCAGTAATTTCATTTGGAAATATTCTACAACAAACATGCCTAAAGGCAGAGACAAGTAGAGACGAGAAACTAAATGTAAATAATTTGTCCTGTGAGATGATGCTTTCTCTCTCGTTAAGTGGAAGCCGTGGCTCAGGGGGAGCCACCCGCGGTTCCAGCGAATGCCCGCCAATTTCAAATAATGTAATATAATGAAGTACTCACTGTTTCAATGCTTGAAAATGTGTGCAAAACGTATTTAATGCAGCCAAATTAGCCATGTTGTATTTATATAAGCAAAATAATTACTTGGACTCCACGAATACGTCTTGTATATCATTCTCAAGCTAGAAGAAAAAGAAAACATAGAAACCATTATAGTAGAGTTTTATTATTCATTAATTTATTGTTTATTGTGTAACAGGAACAATCCTAATATAAAAAAACTATCAATCCACATAGAAACAAAACTTTTATCTGGCAAACAAAAAAATCTGCAATTTTTTTTTTTGGTTTGCCCGGCGGCTGGAGGGACAAAAATCTTCTCGAAGACACCCAGTGGTCCGGAACCCTAGGTAGTGTTGGATTCTTACCAACTAAAAAACCCCCGTTTTTCTACTATGTAAGAATGCTTCAGCTCCAGCACCCGCATGCGATTACGTCACATTCTCTCCATACT